TGATCCAGGGGTCGGGATCCCGCTGTCACGGGGGATGCGGGGCTCACGGAGCGCTGTCTGCACGGTCCCAACACGGGGACCACCGCTATGATCCACGGACGCACCCCGTGACACGCCGGAGGGGAGCGTGGATGATCCAGGGGTCGGGGTCCCGCTGCCCACGGGGGATGCGGGGCTCACGGAGCGCTGTCTGCACGGTCCCAACACGGGGACCGACGCGATGACCCCCGGGCGCACCGCGTGTCCCGCCGCGCTCCGTGTCCCCCGCGCGGGGACAGCGGCACGGAGGGGATTTCGTTCCATCTCGCCGAGATGAAGCAGGTTCGGTGTTTTCTGGCACCGAGAGCCGCYYCCGCGGGCGGAGGGGCAGCGCTCCACGCGCGGCGTGGGCACCGCGGCCGTGCCCGCGGGACAGAGCGCTCCAGGCGCGGGCGGGCACAGACCGAGCCGGGACCCGCCGGGCCGAGCGGAGCCTCCGCCGGGCAACGACCAGAAATACAACAAAACGATTTCATCGCTTCGCTCGATTCTGGCTTTTACCGAATTTGGTCCGTTTAACTCTAGCTCCCGAGCACGCGCTCCCTGCCACGGGAATCGCGAAACGCGCGTGGCGATAAACGAAATGTAAGGGCGGAGGGACCGATGAGGGTCACCCACACGGCCGGCAGCCGCGGCGGGGTCGGTCACACCGATTCCCCCGGAGTCTGGTGCCCCCGGGATCGAAAACGCCCCGCGGGAGCGGCTCACGGGCGGTGCGACCCGCGCGTYCCCGTGCCCGGGGGCACCGGGAGCMRCTGCCGGTCGCGGCGGGGTGGCGTGGAAACGGCTCTGAATAAACGCTGATTCCATCCCCGAGACCGAGCCCGCCCCGGTAAATAAAYGCTCCGTTATGTGAAGTCATCGCCCCAAAGGTCAATGAAAAATCGATACACAGGCAAGAGTTAAACAATYCTGAATAATTTATTAGAATTTAGAAAAGGTGGAAGAGAGACGAGTTCCGTCAACAAAAGTGCTCAGTGATGGGATTTAAAAAAAAACAAAGGGAAAACAATATTAGCGATCTTGCCGTGTTTGGCTCGAATCCGATGCCTCGATGCGCGCCCGCTCCCGACGCGGCCGCGTTTCTCGCTGTCAATTTTCCCCTCGCTTCTTCGGGGCATTCGGGCGCCCACCGAGGAACTTTAGCGGCTCCCGCGGGGCCGGGGCCGCGGCGGGGCCGCTCCGGTTCGCCGTGCCCGCGGGCTGAGGGGCTGACCCGACCCACGCGGGGCGGTGCGCGGAGCCTGCGCGCCCCCCGCCGCCCCCCCGCGCGTCCCGGTGGCCACTCCCCCGCCGCCCCGGCCCCTCTCCGCGTCGCGTTCGCCCGGGACCTCGCGCACGGTCCCGCTCTTAATTAAATTAATTAGGGCGCAGCGCGCGGCGGGCGGGCGGTGTCGTGGTCGCAGTGCCCCGCGGCGGGCGGGCGACCGGGAAGGACGGGAGGAAGGAAGGGAGGAAGGAAGGGGTCCATTCAGAGCTCCGAGGGGAGGTAATTCGCCGGGAACAAGGGGCCGGCTTTGCAAAGTATAAATAGTGCCACTTCAATCGCGGCGTCGCTATCAGACCCCGGGAGCCCTGCACGTCGGGCGGCACGGCCCGGCCCGGCTCGGCACGGCCCGGGGCGCCGCCGCCGCCTCCCCGCCCCGTGGATGCCCGCCCGGGGAGCCGGGGCAGCGCGCCCCTGAGCCATGGAGGAGCTGACGGCGTTTGTCTCCAAGTCGTTTGATCCCAAAGCCAAGGAGAAGAAGGAGCTGATCACCTACCGCGAGGTGCTGGAGAGCGGGCCCCTGCGCGGCGGCGGCGGCCCGCGGGAGCCCGGCGGGGCGGCGGCGGAGCCGGGCCGGGAGGACACGGGCAGCCCCGCGGTGCGGCCGGCCGGGCGCTCCCCGCCGCGGGAGCCCGACGCCGCCGCCGAGAGAGCGGCCGAGGCGGCCACCCCCAAGCTCAGCGACGGTAACGGCGGCACCGCGGGCTCCCCCTTCTCCCGTTCCCTTTCCCTTTCCTCCCCTTCCCCCGTCGGGGTCGGTACGCGCGGAGCGGCCCGCGGTCGCGGGTGGACGCGGGCTGGCGGGGAGGCTGCGCCCGGCGGTGATGGGCGGCTGCCCGGGCTCTCCCAGCCACGGGAGATCCGCGAGCAGCCTCCAAGTTTTTAGATTAAAATATTGAAACCCGSATTTAACTTGCTCCGAACGCGATCTTGTTCCCGTTCGGCATCCCACGGGAAGCCGCGATGCCAACGAAAGCCCGGCCCCTCGGGCCCGTTCGTTCCCCCGGGCTCCGGGCTGCGCGGACTCGCGTGGGGCCGGGCCGCGCTGCCCACGCTCAGCCCCGGAGCTTCCAGCGGAACCGCCCCGCGGGTGCTCCGAGTGGTACCGCGGGGCCGGTACCGGGGCCGCCCGCCGCTCTCGGGCGCTGCGGGAAGCGGCCGGGCCCGTGCCCGTGGCCGCGGGGACCCGCGGGTCGCTGCCGCCCTTTTGTTCGGACCGGCGGAGCGCCCAGAGCATCCCTGKCACGGGTGCCTGGAATATTCGGTAYCGCGGGGGAGCCGCGGCGGGGCAGGACCGGGCCGTGCCGGCCGGGGCAGGATCCCCGCGGGGGTCGGTGCGGGGGCCCCACGCTCCGGCCCGGGGCGCGTCTCCAGCGGAAAATTGGCCGAGGAAAAACGAATCCCGGGGGATCGCGGGGCGCGGAGGGGCCGCGGCGGCCGGCGGAGGCTCCGGGGACCTGTTGCTGCGCATCCCCCGGGGACACKGCGGGGCCGGAGGGGAGGGCTCGGTGCGGACCCGGTTCCCCCCGGCAGCGGTTACCGGAGCCGGCGGTGGAGCTCGGAACGGCAGCGGCCGAGGCGGCCTAGCGCGGCCCG